ATCCAGGGTCTTAAAAGCTTGCAAACGGCCATCTAAGATGCATCATTTGGTCCCAACCACTTGGAGTAAAGGAGAACGAAGAACACCAAAGACACAAGGAAAGTATTAGCCCAAGAGACAGAATGGGCCACATAAACCAGAGACTTCATCAGTCTGAGACCAGAGGAACTAGACGGTGCCCAGCTACCACCAATGAATGTCCTGACAGGGAACACAACAGAGGTTCCCTGATGGAGCAGTAGAACGATGCGATGCAGAACTCAAATTCTAGTAAGAAGACCAGACTTAATGGTCTGACTGAGACTGGAGGGGCCCAAGAAAGCATGGGCCATGGACTCTCTATTACCCCAGAACCAGTACAATTTCCGAGGCCAACTCTTCAGACAGGGATTGGACCGGACTGTGGGACATAAAGTGATACTTGTGAAGAATGTGCCTCTTAGTCAAGTAGATACAAGAGACCAAAGGGGCAGCTTCTCTTCAGAGGTGAAATGGGAAGGCAGAGAGAGTTAGGAGCTGGTTGAATGTTCATGGGGAATCAGGGGCGGAGGGGAGGAGTGTGCTGTCGCAGAATGGGCTGAGCGGTTGGGGTCTCATAACAATGTATGTAAAAAAAAATACTGTATGGGAGACTAACTTGACATGTAAACTTCATTTAATTACAACAATAAAAAAAAGTGAAAAAGAAAAGAATATACAAAAGTAGGTAGACTGTGAAGTTATTTTAGAACTTAGAAACATTTGGAATGAGCCCTCCTTCCCCCTTCTTTTCTTTAAGTTGTTTTGCTTTCTAAGTTTGGAAAAGCACCTAAGTGCAGTCAGCTAAAACATTAGTAGAAAGCCTCCCATCTTTCTGGACAGAGGAATCACTGAAAGGAGTTGGGAGGTCAAATAATTTGTGGAAAGCCCTTAGAAGAAATACCGGGATCCCTTAATTCTGAGTAAGAACCTGCACTAAGTCTCATCTAACCACTAATTCAAAACAGCATAACAAAGGCTTAAGAAACTGAACAAAGATTTGAACTGCTTCCCAGAGAATGAAAGGAAAAAAGGATTTTACGATCTGAATCTGTTGATCGCCTGCTAAAAGCAATACATTAACATTTTTCAAAGGATTATAAGAGAGCCCATATTGTACACAAATTAATATTTGCAATGACCAGAATACAACCCAAAATTACTCAGTATACAAAGAACCAGGTAAATGTGATTCATATTCTCAAGGGAAAAGACAATTGGCAGATGTCAACTCCAAGATGACTGAGATGTTAAAATTATTAATGACTTTAAAGCAGCTCTTATAACTATGTTGCAAGAGGTAAAGGAAACTATACTTGAATGAAAGATTGAAAATCTCAACTGAGTAGTGGAAAATATGACAAAGAGTCAAAAGGAAAATTTTGAATTTAAAAAAGACAATATTACAGTTCACTTGATAAAAGTTTTTCCTTCCATTTACTTTCAACCTAAATCTGTCTTTATATTTAAGCTTGTCTCTTATAGATAGTATGTAGTTGCATCTTGCTAGTCTGTGTGCTCTGAAAATCTCTGCCTTTTAATTGGAGTTTTCAAATATGTATAGTTTATTGTAAGTCAGTTACAAATCAATGAAGTTCTTTTAAAATCTCATCAAATGGTACACATTATATGTGTACAGTTTATTGTACAGAAATAATTCAATAAAAATAGATGACATGGTAGAAGATAGATACAAACATAGATAGATACATAGAATGTTTTTCTCAGCAATATTTTAGCATTCAGTGTAAAGGTCTTGGATATTTTGTTGGATTTATTGCTAAAAATTATATATATATTTTGGAACTGTTTTAAATAAGGATTGGGTTTTTTAAACATTGCTACAATTCAGATCTTGTGGATCTATATCATGTGCTGTACATCAAACCCAGTAATAGGGTTCTTTGACTTAAAAGGAATAAAATGTCAAACATAAACATCTAATAGTGCAAACATTATTTAAGGAAGTTCCATACCTACATCAGGCAAGCTTTTTTTTTTTAAAGTCAGACAATATTATATATTGTTCAAAATGTTCTTGTATTTCCAATCCTGAAGAAGTTCACTGTATCCGGTGTCTAAGTAGTGAATTGTTATGCCTAATAATCCAAATGCTGTTTAGAAATTCTGATCTCTCATCATTATATTGGTCAATTATAAACCAAATTGCTTTTATAGCCTAGAAAAAACCACGACACTTGAAGCCATGGCTCATCCTATGTTTACAAGTGGAACAGAAGTTAAAAAAAAAACAAAAAAAAAAACAGTGTATTTGCATGACTATGAGGATACTGAAAGAATAACAACAAAAGACTAAAAACAAATTATATTCAGAGACAGTATCAGCTAGAAGAACTTAAAAATATATACTTATATTTCTCTTTCCAGATAAGTTTTCGGTGTAAACTCATGACTATAAAATCGATATCCCACTTTATAACAGTTTTTCCAGTTCTTGAAAACATAGAAAGATTTTTTTTTTTCCGAGTTAAGCATTTGAGGAGATTTGCAGTATTACTCTCCCAAACTCCTAAACACTGCTTGAACCGGAGACTCCTGGAGAGTTTCTTTGTAATGAAGAGCATCATTACCAAAGGACTTGGTGAAACAGAGCAGCTAATTTTCCTTCATGACTTCATTATGAGTTTGCACCACGCTTTCATGCTGGGTAGCCCCTGTGTACTGCCATGGAAATCTCTATCCCTTGGTCTTATGCATGGCCTCAAGAAGAACTGTTAGAGACGGTGTGTGCTGAATAATGGATGCACATGAGTCCCCTGATAGAGGTTTGACGGCCGTAAAACATTTGTGATTGCTTTTACATTCAAACTCAGGGAGTAGCTGAGAGAATATTATTTCTCAATGTCATGCTAACTACAATTATGGAGATTTTCAGTAGCTGTGCCTCTTATTAGTGTTTGAAGCAATTATATAGAGAATGGGTAAGTGTAGTATTCTACCTGCACTGAGAAAATCATCCCTTGGCACTGCATTTTAGGTATTCAAATTCAATCAGTCTTCACACACATGCACACACTGAAAGTTCTGTTTACAAGAGATCTTGCAAATAAATAGTAGCCCCTTTTTCAGGTTACAATTCTAGCGGGGTCAATGTACTTCACTGCAAATCATATGGTGTTAAATCAACAGGTAAAATCAACTTTCCTTTTGCTCTATGAGAATTGTTTAATTTATTGCTATTCTGGTATATGGCATATATTTATTTCCCACTACTAATGATATCATCTCTTAAACATTATGGTAAATCAGACATAAAATAAATTATATTTTTACACACACTGGCTCTTTCTGGAACGAAAAAATTTTCAATGAATTCAGAAATACAACAATTGAAGTATTGTATTCATTAAAACAAGTTCAAGTTGAGTACACTAAGGGGACTTGGGTTGGGGAGGGAGCTGGGATAACTTGTAGGGAAGGTTTGATAGCGCCAGGTCATTGGCTTGATTGACAATTTGTTTTTTCATCTTGTTTAGAGCCACAATGACATAACCACAAAACCTTACCTATGAGTGCCAAGGGGATAGAAGTAGTGTTAGATAATTCAAGGTTAAGGAAAAATTGACAGCATATCTTCCTAGTGAGGGGGAAAAAAAGATAAGAAAGTATTAACTTTCTTTTTGTCAGAATTATGAGATTAGTAGTTTCCACTCCCATTGGGGAAAAAAAAAAAATCAATTGCACTTTTTGTCTCCTTATACATCAACCAAAGGCACACACCAGGACACAGACCACTCCAGATTCTTTTCTCTTTAGATACAATTCCCAAAATGCGGAATCCAAAGCGGAGAGAGAAAAAAAAAGTATATATATATGGAGGGTGGTGCAGAGGTTAAGAAGTCAGCTGCTAATCAAAATGTTGGCAGTTCGAATCCACCAGCTGCTCCTCGGAAACCCTACGGGCAGTTCTACTCTGTCCCATAGGGTTGCTATGAGACGGAATCGACTCCACAGCAACAGGTTTACATATATATGTGTATCTATATATATACGTATATATGTGTGTATATATATATTTGTGCACACACATATATGTTTTAAGAATGAATGTATGTTACAAACTGAAATCATAATGCCAAAGAACAATTTTCCAAGAAGAAAATAATTTAAAATAAATCATTTATTTCCCTTAATAGAATAAAAAAAGAATCACAGCTACTCACCTAATCTCTCAATGGAATAATATCGCTGCTTACTGTCCACACGTACTGTCTCGGCATAAGGGCTACCAACACCATAACCAATGATGTATCCTCGCACGACAATGTTTGGGTTCAAGGGAGGAGTCCAACTCATGATGATGCAGTTGGTCTGTGGCCTCACATGAAGAGAGCTTGGCTGGTCAGGAACCTGAGACTCTAGAAATCAAAAAGAGGCATCGTGAGCATGTCTCCTAACAGAATGTGTAGCATGGCAACAAGATTTAATACGATATTCCATGGGTGCTTCAATGGCACTTCACTTATTGCCAAGTCCCTCCTTGTTTCAGCAGGTGATACATTTTCCTGTTTGATTTTACTTTCATAGAACTTCTTAAGCATAAAAGGGTACTGAATTCCCTTTATAGGCATTGTTCCACCATGCATCTTTATTCCAATAGTTTCTTCCTGTTGTTTATTTCTTTTTTTTTCATACATTTCTTCTTTGGTATCATTCATAAAGGGTGAAGTCAAGACAGAAGTTAAGAATAATAGAACGGGGAATCAAATGTCAGAACTGTCTTACCCAAGGATTATTTACTCTGACTTAACTAAGAACAAAAATAAATGTAACAGTCCTTCTTAAGAAATTGTCTGTAGAAATAGTTTCAGGCCAGGATCTCCTCTGTATGATTAGGCTGGTGCTTGGCCATGGTTTATTGCAACTGTGAGAAGCGCATATATTACGACAGGATCGGAGACAGGAGTATGGATTAAAGCCACACAGGATTTGGTGCTGTGCAAATTTGGTTTAATACCAGGTTCTTCTATTTACTAGATATGTAACTTCATACAATTATTTAACTTCACTGTGTTTCCCTTCTAATTAAGTTGGCATTCCAAATATTAAAAATCGATTAGAAGCTTGAGATCTGGAAGTAAGAAAGAGAAGTTCAGATTTGTGCTAGGTTATTCACTAGCTGTGAGGCCTTACTTATCTTCTTCTCTGAAACTCAGTTCCCTCACCTGTAAAATGAGGATAAGGTGTTGAGAAGTTTTAATGAGGTAATGAATAAAAATACACTTATTATGAGCAGCGCATACGTTCTCAAATGATGTTAACTATTACGAAGAGAATGCCACTCTGGCACAAATTTTCTTTTAAAAGATGTTGAGTATTATAAATTAATAAATTGACATTGTGATTTTTACATCATCACCCTCCACCCCATGATTCCTTCCCTAAAAGAATGATCCTTTTTCTGATCATTATTCAATTAACAAATAGTTATAGAGCACTTATTATGTTAGGAAGGAGCCCTAGTGGTGCAATTGTTAAAGCACTCAGCTACTAACGGAAAAAGTTGGCAGTTTGAACCCACCAGCCACTCTGTGGGAGAAAGATGTGGCAGTCTGCTTCTGTAAAAATTAAAGCCTTGGAAACCCTATGGGGCGGTTCTACTCTGTCCTATAGGGTCGCTATGAGTCAGAATCCACTCAATGGCAACAGATTTGGTTTTCGGTTTTTGTTATGTTTGGGGTATGCAACTAGGTACTTATGATCTTCAGGATACAGCAGAGAATGAATACAGCAGACACTGAATCTGCACTCTTGGAGTTTATAGTCTAATGGAGAAGAAGATAAACAAGTAAAGAGGGGTTATAATATAGTATGATAAATATTTTTGATAGTTTAATACAGGCACATGTAGCTTATTCATTGGAAATCAAGGAAGTCTTCTGAGAGGAAAGGATGTAAGAAAGAATGTGTCTATTAAAATTTTAATAGTTGGGTATGTGCCTAGCACATTTTCTAACAATTACTAGGTACTCAAAAATATTAGTGATCTGAATCTTATTCAAACTATTCTTGTTCATTATTTTTGTCCTAAGGAAAATCTCTGAAGGTGACACAGGGCATATTATGAAAAGGAATTTGATGACCAAAGGTAATTTTACAATACCTTACAATACAATACAAAATAGCAAAACCTGAAGCAAGCCCCATCACCAACTTTATCCATCTTTGACATGCACACCTAGTTCAAGTGATGGATGGGAGCATGTCTTTTATTGAAGTGTTTAAAATAGTTACCAGATCAACAGCTTTTCTAAATGTGCTACATTCTAAAGATGCTACATCAACAGCATTTTCTAAAGATGTCCCTTTGTGAGCAAAAAGGGAAAAGCTATTATTCATCTGTCCTAAAGAAGCCTGAGACATAATATACAAAGACATCCTAAAATATATGTATATATATATATATAACGTGATATTTTCCGTAACAGCAGAAATATAATGTTTGTATAGTATTTCCCACTACAAACTCTAAGTAAAAGTAATAAAAGAGATGAAAGGGAGGGATTAATACTTTTCAACCCTACTGCCACAGAAGGCTTGCCAGTATCCTTGGAATGTAATGGGCTCTACAATAAACTCTGTTGAACACATTTGTAGCTTTTGCAATAACTACTGAAAGAACAATATGATCTGTCTGGGCTTATATTTTGAAAATAAACTACTACTCAGATTTTCTGCATTTACAACTTTTTAAAAAACAACATGAAAGCACAATGATGAATGGCAATATTCGACATGTTTTAGAATAACTTGAAACTCTATTTGAAATGTTTATAGAACAATAACTATTTCCACATTTTTCAGCAAACCACACTGCAGTTCCCCTGCAAGTTGGTTCAGTTAGTAGACCCAGAATCACATCCATCAGTGCCTTAGGGTAAAATGGTAAAGAGTACACGAACTGGCTCTTGAGGAAACCGAGCTATTAGCATACAAGACACATCTTTATCTTTCCCTGCATAAAATAGTTTCAGTCCTAAATTTAAACATCAAAACAATTCTAACATTTAATAAAAGTAGGAGTGTTAATACATAAGAACATATACCATTTCTCTACCTAAATATTTAATGGGTGTTTACCATTCAATGAGGATCATTGGGCTAGAAGGAAGGATGCCTATCAAGGCGGTATTAGACCTAGATCATGCATAATATATGGCCTCATCATAAAGATAACTGTGTTATGAGATCATTTATAATCCAGACTATCTCATTCAGATCTACCCACTCACTTCTTAGTGCAAAAACAAATGACAATTTTCCTTTTATGTTACCAGAGTGAGTTTGCCTAACACAGATGACCTTATGCGTTATGAAAGCAGTTATTACAGGAATGAACTATAAAATATCAATTTAGAAAATTTTGCTATGGAAGTACATGAGTACCCTTGTTTTGGGGCCAACACTGAAATTTGCTGCTCTGAAGTACATGAAGGTTTTACAAGTATCTCTACAGCAGTGATTGCACACATAAAGAATACAGGAGTGTTAGGATTATTATTGAAATAATTGGGAACCAAAGAACACATTTTGCTTGAAATATCCAAATTAATGAGGGCCACAATTTCTACTGGAGTCTGAGTTATCAAGATAACTAGGTCAACTGCCATTCTTAATTAAACTATGGAAATATGGATTCTGTCTTGGTTTCATTTGGTTCTAAAGACCATATATGATTCTTTGAGAGATGATTACAGGCTTCCACTAATGAGTAATGTTCACAGACAGTACACTAGAAAATTTATTGGATTAATCTCTGTGATATTTCAACAATTACTGTGCATCTTCTATATGCCAGTCATCCTGTCAGGTACTAGGGATATAGTGCTCAATAGGTTTGGGAGAGAGGATTGAGGTGCAGATAAAACAACAAATAAACAAACAAGGAAGTCATGAGATCTTGATAAGTGCTGTGCTGATGGAATAGTAACTGATTCATCTAGAATCTCTCTCAGCAGAGAGTCTTAAGATGAATGATCAGGAACAGCCAGTCAAGAAAGCATCAGGGTGGAGAGCTTTGTAAGTAGAGAGAACAATCACTGCAAAGACCTAGGGATAGAATGAACTTGGTATTTGGAGAAACCAAAGAAGTTCACTGGAGGGTAATCGGTAAGAAGGAAAATGAAGAAGATAACCAGGGGCCAGGCCATTGTAAACAAAACAAATCAAGGTAAGTAAGGGATTTAGGGTTTATTCTAAATACAAGAACACTTGGAAGGGTCTTCCAACATGATCTGATTGATGTTTTTAAAACATCACTTTCTTTTTCTAGGTGAAAAGAAGTTTGGGGAGGGGACACAGAGAGAAGGCAGGGAGACCATAAAAATGCTTAAGCACTTGTCTAGTGGCAGTTGTACACATGAAGTGGACATATCTGGGACATTTGGGAAATATAGTCAACAGAACTATAGACTGAGTATGAGTAGGGAGGTTTTGAAAGAGGAGATTCAAGATAACTTGTAGATACTTGGCTTGGGGAAGTGGGTGGATGATGTACTGAGATGAGATAAGATGGGGAAAAACACGGGAGCTCTCCTTAGGCCATGTTAAATTTGAGTTGCCTATTCCTCACACTTGTGGAGATGCCAGGGAGGTAGTTAGGGAAGTAAATCTAGAGTTTTCTTGAAAGGCTATGTCTGGAAATATACCAGCATATAGATGGTATCCAGAATAAATATATGTGTGAGAATGTGTGTGAATAAATAAAATATAAATAAGATCATGTTATTGCTCTGTTCACAACCCCTAAAGTCTTCCCAATATCACATTTTAAAGCCAGGTTCCTTAAGATGGTCTAAAAAGCCATATATGATCTGTTCCTCTCTCCTTTAACTCTCCGTTCTTATCTCCTACAACTTTCTCCTTTGATCACCTCACTCCAGCCATCTACTCCACAATGGACACTTTGCTATTCCTCAAACATGCCAGACACGCTCTGGCCCCAGGACATTAGCATTTCCAGTGCTTTCTTCCCTAGAAGCTCTCCTCAGATATGACTTCCTCTTTTACTTCCTTCAAGTTTTTGTTGTTTAATTCCCAGTTGCAGCCTTCCCTTTCTACCATATTAAAAACTGCAATCTTTCTTTCATCACTCTTTATATCCCCTCATAGGATTTATTACCACTTATTGTGTAACCTATTTAACTAAATTATTTCATGACTCTTTGTCTCACTCCCTTCCATAAATTCTCCAACTCCAGCACCTAGAACAGTGCCTAGCAAGAAGTGCTCAAAATTATGAGTATAAAGTATATATTTCCTGTAGAGTCTGATGCAACGGTCATATAACTGTCATTTATATAACTGTCATTATATGTAAAATTACCACCATTTGGTATAACTCTGTCCATAAGATAAA